TTTCGCGMACTAACATTTTGATGAAAAGCCATTGCACGATAGATGTTGATGTTGGACATGGAAAAAGATTCTACTAGGTTCCAGGCMCTGTTTGGAGGCTTAAAGKCGCAGTATACTRKGCGCTTTTGATAGYCTGGTDGAAGACTCTTAGCTGTTATAATGTATTTGTCATTGGTTGGATAGTCCCCTGTTTTGTTGTATGTATATTTCATGACGTCAAGGCACGAGGCGAACTCTCTTTTGTCACACACAACGCCGTTGTAGTTCAGCGCACACTTGCACGAGAATTTCTTTTTGGGATTGGTGCAGTGCTCTTCGCATGTCCCTCCGTTCATGCAAGGCTGAGATCGACAGCAGCCATTATAGCAAACACCTGGTGGAANGCACTTGACTGGATTATCAGTGGTGATGTTGTTGTAGGAGTATCCCTTGAGATGTTTTCCATGGAAGATGTCTTGGGACTCTGGGAAAAGTCGTCCAGAATAGCAGGTACCAACACAGTGAGATTGACATCGGACTGCAACAAAAAAGGTTTGCAAGCTCGCTATAATCGGAATGGAGTAGTCAACCTTCATGATTCCTGAACATGTTTGATGATATGGTAGTTAAGCAGCTTATGAAGCGTCATGAATTATGCAAAATACAATTTATGGAGTCGCGATTATCCAGTCTTAATGCTCTTCTTGTTGATTCAATTAAAACTCAACCAGTGGCGAAGATGCTATGTAATGTGCAGAAGAGTCAAACGGTTGGAGTACATGCGTGAACTCCTCATAAAATACCAAGAATGATAAGATAATCACACCTTAATTTTRATAACTTGCAATTTCAAGTTTACTTAAATCATCCAAGGATTTTTCAAATTTAAAAGGTAAACCTTTTGTGTTAGAARTAAAAGAAGCTGTGTAGTAATATATACATTAATTTTTAAATTTTGATATACAATAGAAAAGTTTGCTTTTCTCAAAGCTCAACGTCAGGAACGTCCGGCAAAGTTCTAAATGTCTTTTCAATAGAATTCGGACATAATTTAAGATCTGCTGATGCTGTAGAAAAGCTAAGAATGTCAATGTCTACAAATTGCTGYTCGCTCAATTTCAGAATCAGTTGGTTCGATTCCTTTTCTGAGCTGCCAATCGTGTTGATCATGATTYCATCTTTTGGTTCAGCCTTTTAGATTTCACCTCCAATCCAGAATTGAGTAGTCGAGCTCTCTTTTTCGGTGCATTTTGTTGTGTTAATAACGGGGTGATAGTAAACGAAATTATCTTCGCCGTCTGTGCAGCCAGGATCAGTCAAACCACATTCCCTCGATCTTTCACAGTCAATATGAAAATGTTAAATTCCCTTCTTTTGCCAAACCTCTGCACTCTGGTTAAAAATGTTTTTGCCTCTGACGTTAATGTGCACGTGAGCAAGTTCAAAACATTTTCCTCCTACATCACCATGGTGAATGATGTCATAGTCACGCAGGTAACCAAGGAGATAGTCAGGAACCAATGAGGATCTGCGAGGAAAGTCACAAGTGACTCGAAACATAGTGGACTCTGATCGAATGTACTTTATGAAGTACGGGCCATGGCGATGGTCATCCTAGTTGAGAATCTTCCAGTTTCGCGCAGTAACGCCCTGATTAAAATCCATTGTACGATAGATGTCAATTTTTGATGTTTCGAGAATAGCAGGTGCCAACGCACTGAGATTGACATGGCCAACGAAAAAGATGTGCAAGCTCGCTATAGTAAGAACGGCGTATTGGACTTTCATGATTCTTGAACGTGTTGGAAGCGACACTTTGGCAAAATAGAATTTGTAGAATCGCGATTCTTCAGATAATTGACTACATGAAATATTCAGAAAGACGTGATAAAGTCATCTTAATTTGCAATTTCGCTTGTGAATTGTCCAATGATTTTTTCCAATTCGCAAAGCAGGCCTTGAGTGTGGGAGAAAGTGCTAGTGATTTGAAAACAAGAAATAACTATGACATATCAGACTTTGTTACTTGATTTCATTCAATGAATTTTTCTCTAGTATTCTCATACATTAAACATGTATGTCTCGAATGTAAAAAGATATTAAAAGGAATGACATCTTGACAAGAGATGAACGTGTTAAAACTTTGCCAGTGACAAATTCGATAGAACACTATTCAGT